AATTCTGACAAACTAATTGTCAGTATAGTTTTTATTTATTGAAATTAAATATGCATTAAAATGAGTTATTTTTGTGTAGAATAAATAATAGCATTTTTACTTTTATTTGGTCCATATTTAAAAAAAAATTTAATAAAACTATATGAAACTATTTTAATTACAAGTATTAAAACAAAAATCCTAAAAGTGGCCGAGGACGCGAAAGGCGCGGGATCGAATATCGGTTGGGGACTAATTAAATAAAATCTTTATTTTTTTCAGTAAAATTCATAAACTATTTTGTCTTATTAACCTAAAATATTTTCTTAAATTTGTAGATTTTCGTTACTGTGTCGTAGAAAAAATATGCCATAAAACTCGAGTGGATTGTCCATATGGCCATCATATACAATCGCACAAACTACTATTGTGCAATAAGAGTGGATATGATAGACACATCGCACGAAGACAAAGTTTGAACACGAGGCCGTAGGAGGAGTGCTCAATCGTCTGAGTGCGATACGGACAATCCACCCGAGTTGTACAGTATATTTTTTCTACGACCCACTAACAAAAATCTACAAATTTTAAAAATTATTTTAGGTTGTTAAGATAAAACAACCAATTTAGAAATAATGTATGACTTTTACTAGTTTATAAAATAACATAAACTTATTTAATTTAATTAGTCTTCGATCCTAGATTTGAACCCGGGACCTCTCGCACGACAGCTAGTCTCCGCTCTATCGCTACACCTAACATGTTAGTTTTAATACTAGTAATTAAAATGATTTCATCTAGTTCTATTAAAATTTATGATTTATTTGTAAATATAGACGAAATATAAATAGAAGTGCTATTATTTACCGTTTTTACACAATAATAACTCATTTTAATGAATAATTATATATTAATAACTAAAAAATGTACTGAAAATTAGTTTTACAGAATTGCCACTTATTTAAAATTTTAAAAAATAATAGTAGACGAGTGACCAAAATATATTGGTGCATTTCATATTTGTGCAATGTTTTTACTGGGTACAATGGATATGGAATATATTCGTTCAGTTAAACACAATGGCATACTTTTTCGTTTAGAAATCTTTACGTAGAATTGCTAATATCCACGTGGGTGTAAAAAACTACATATTTCTAGTTCTTGTATTATTTTTACTTTAATTTGGTTTACAATAGACAATTTAAAACTTTATATTAATTTTCAATTAAGCGTAAATCAAATAAAATGTTAACACGTTCGCTGCCGTGTGTATCATTTAGGATACACTGAGCAGCCCTTATCACAGGCCGGATGTATTCTAAATGATACACCCACTATTATTGCTTCAAGACAGCGATGTATTCATTTGAATACACCGCTCATAAGAAATAAATTAGCTTAGGACTTTTGAGGCCTGACACTATAAAAAGCAAACTTAAAGTTTTGGCCTGGGAGGGTATTATGAAGACCAATGTGTGGGTATGAAATGAAATGCATATAAGTAGTATTAATGTATTTATTCGTACAAAAAAATGTTCATATCAATGCAAAATTAAAAATGAAAGCTACGAAACACTAAATTTAAAAATTAGTGGTAACGATTGAAACATTCTCTGCAACAAGTATTAGAAATTAAAAATTAAAAAAAACCGACTTCAAAAACGTGCAGATGCCGTCACCACATCTTAACCAAATTTATATGGGACCACCCCTGAGGTATCCCCTTACTAACAAAAAAAAATCATATAAATCAAACAAGGTGATAAAGCATTATCGCTAAACATACATAAAAAATGAAGAGTTTGAGGATTTTCTCACAGACCCAATTAATATATTTTGTCCAAATTTATATGGGACCACCCCTAAAGTACATCATTTCTAACAAAAAAAGAATTATTGAAATCGGACACCGTGTTGAAGAATTATCGCTGAACATACATAAAAAAAATTATCGCGACGAATTGAGAACCTCCCCCTTTTTTGAAGTCGGTTAAAAAAAATGGATTGCGCTCACACTCATTGCATACGGTTTTTACTTGTGCTGCCAGTTTTTTTACCATCTACCATCTCACCATGCCTCCCAATTTTTTTATCGCATTTGTTGCACCGTCCCCTTTTATTTTGGCCATGTTGAACCAGATGATGGATTTTTCTCTTGGCTTCTATTTCAACTCTTTGATCAGAATTAAGAAGATATTGTATAAAACTCTGCTTAAACTGCGGTATTGTCAATTTTGGAGAATGTCCCCCGTTTTCGCAGTAGCGAAAGGGAGCATTCACAAGACTGATTCCCCATAAAATTTCCATCATTAGTTGTCTATACCATTTTATCGACCTAGAGAAGTGTTATAGGACGATAATAGGTCACTTACATCAACTGACGGTTTTCCAGTTTCATAGTCTGCAACGTGTAAAGGTCTCTTCCAATATTTGACGTAATAGTATGGATATATGTGCTAAGGTGAGTGGTTGTCAGCATCATCACGTCCTTTTTATCCTTCCACTTTAGTATGGTAATTCCATCGTTGGATTCTTAGCGATAATTTGTGCTTTGGAAACTATTTATAAACATCTGAAGAATATTGTCTTTTTTATTTAGACGATTTTATTGTTGGGCATCATCATTATTGGCAAAGTAGCAGAACATGAGCAACAATTTAAATCTATTTCGCGATATAGTATTTTTGGGGAGTGGGAATGCATATAACTTGGTTCGACTCCAATAATTTGCTAAATTGGGCACTTTCACCAGACCCACCCATCTTCGTAAACCGATTTCCTGACAATCTGTGGGTGTCCAATCGTGTAAACGTGAATTGGGCCAGCGTCACTTTTTCCTAAAATTTGTGTTGCATAGAGATTTGTTTCGTTCACCATTCATTGTATCTAAAACTCAAGTCAAAAACAGAAGAAAATAGTCGATTGGGTCTGTCAACGCCATAACCCCACTAAGGATGGGATCCATTCCACTGAATCCAATAAACTGAAATATTATTTAGTTGTCCATAGGATCGGTTCATATAATATTTTCAAACATTATTTCCTAATTTAGGGCGGTGGAGACTCACTGGCTATATTGATATTTGGTTGAGGTGATGGAGAACGGCTTATAGTTCTACTTGTACTTGGTTGAACCAGTGGAGATCGGCTGGTAACACTATTTCTATTCGGTTGGGATTTTGAAGTCGAAGCACTAACTGGTACCATTATATAATTACTGTCACTATCATATGTTTCAGACTCTTTCTGTTAATTTAGATCAGCGTCTGAATCATCCAAATCTTCGTCATTAATGTCCATGTCAGGGTATTCCCCTGTTTCATGCATTTTCTCAAGCTCACTGTCTTTATAGAAGCCTTTTTTCATTTTGTTTTTTATCACAATAGTCTGTATATTCACTTTTAATCTTTATTGAGCACTAACACTTGGAAGATACTGTTCTATACCAATATTGTATTGATTTACTTTTACTTTTGCGATAGAGCACAACAGCCAAGTCAAGCGAGTGGAGTGGAGAAATTTGTAGACATGGAATAGAAAAACAAGTTCCTATATTTACTCGAATATAGATATTGATATGCTTTGGTATAAATTCATGGGGTCAAATAAATACAATGATTTGTCCTTTCTGCGGCATCCTACTTATACCAGAGCAAATCAATATCTATATCCGTGTCCATATAAGAACTGATTTTTCTATTTAACCTCTCCAAATGTAACCTGAACGGGTGGCACTCACCTTTCCTCGCACACTTGGGGTTTAGCAACTGTAGCACAGGTAGGGTTAGGTATAGCTTTATGAAAAAACGAAGGACCAGGATTTCTTCCAAACATATATATTTACAAACGTGAACAAATCAACAGATCTTTAAAAGTTTAAATAAATTGTTTTAAAATGCAATGGAATGCGTGAAATTACTTTTTATTAGATGTGATATTTCAATGACTTTCTTGTGACATCTTTTTCCTACTATGTTTTTTATTATATTATATAGAAAGTGTAACCTAGTAAACAGTAAGGAGTCTATAAGAGAATAAAATAAATAACAACTAAAACTAAGTATTTGGAACCAAAGAGTTTGGGGCCAAACATAACCCATCCAAAAGTACACGTAAATCCAAAGTAGAAGACATTGTAGCTCGTCAATCAAAAACAAAGAAAAAGACATTTTGTACTAGTGTATCAAATGATATAGTTGGCCTGGAGCTGTAAGACTGTTACTGTTTAGCGAGTGTATCATTTACGATACATTAAAAAAATAATTTAAAATCAAAAAATATCAAAAACTATGTCAAAAATAAAACCAAATATGGAAAATGCTTTCAAAATATATTACAATGGTGTAATTTATTTTGGCCTGTGAGGTTAGATTTAGACATTTTATCTTGGCAGCAAACGTAGTTAAACTTGCAAAAACAAATTGTATTGTCTAACTTTCAATTTTAAGTCGCTTGGGCATTTGTAGAATTTGATTTGTTTAAACTCATGATAATTATAATAATATAATGCAATCAGAATGTCTATTTCTTACTGACTAGACCTAATAAGGACAAAACCGGTTCAAGAGTAAGTTCTATTTATATATGTGTTGGCCGTCCCTGATAAGAAACTGTTAGCTCCTTGCTTCATTTTTTTATGTGGATTTCATCAAGATTGCTAGGTTTAAATTAAATTAATTAGTAATAATAGTCGAATACATTATATTCAAAAAGTATTTTTATCAAAGTGAAGCTTACTGAAACGCAGTGAATTTAAATTCTGATGTTGATTGGTGGTGGAGATAAAACAAGGACTCAGATAAAGGTTTGTACTTTATTTAACAATAAATATCCCAACTAATTTCGCAATCAACAGTAAACAAAATTGAGAAGAAATTCAGAGGAAGGGGTCGTGTAAGAGTCAACAAGTTACAATATAATGAATATATTCTTTTAGTGTCCCATACTGAAGTATCAAATCACCAAAATACATTTGTAAACTATCAATACCTAGAAATATAGTTTTTTTTTATTTAACTTACCTGTCACCAAACGGAAACATATGCGAAAATGGAGGCGGCTGCACCGTCTTTGGTGGTTCCGATGATCCCGAAGGAGCAGGACTATGCGGCGACAAAGGACTCGAAGGATCGGCTTCGGCGACGCTTCGCGTTTGCTCGGGTGTTTCTCGGCCTGCGCTGCTTCGACTCGAACATTCTCGATCTCGCGCGGCTTCTTCATCGACATTCGTTTCCGGTGAGCTACTTGGAAGACCATCTTCAACCTACATATTTTATTTTTAGTTTATATTTTTACTAAATAAGGAATTTAAAAAGTTTGGTAAGATTGCGAAAACGTAAAATGGTCACAAACTATCTTTTTTATTAGAAAATAATCGATTTTTTCGACTTCTAAGTCTTTCAAATTTGGCCACTCGGTAAAATTTTAAAAAATAGATTAGAATCTCAGATAAACAAATGAAATATAGATGAGTAACGGTCTGTATTTGTGTGAAGTCAGTATCTACTGTTTTGTCAGTTTTATTTGTACATTTTGTGTGATTTTATATTCGCAGTTTTTAGAGTTTCTATTGTTTTTTTAACGATATTTATTAGTTGTAAGTCTAAAAATTACTGTTGTTATTATTATTACACTTAAAAAAATTTCACGTCGTTTCATAGGTAAGTAAATAAAAAACATAGGCGGTACAAGTATATTGTAGAATATTATTAGTAATGTTTTCAAAACCTAGAATTAGGAACGGTTGAAGTTAATAAAATTAATAAAAATACTACAATATATCAGAAACATTTCATAAATTATGATTTTGTTCTGAACTCCGCCGGGAAAGACGAATTTAAAGCTGAAAGCAATTCCTATTTTATTAAATTCTCAACTTGATCCGTCTTCAAGTAAGTTATACCAGCAGGGCCGACTAGGGGGGGGGGTAGCCGGGACAAATTCCCGGGGCCCGGGCTTAAATGGGGGCCCGGCAGCGCTGTAAGGGGGGCCCGACAACAGGTTTTTTTTGTTCTGCATGAGCAATTCGACACAAGATGAGAGAGGGAAGTTAAGTTTAAATTAAAATTAAATAGAAGTAGAAGTAGAAGTTTTTTCAACTGAGGTTTTTTTTAGAAGAAGTAATTAAAATAGGGATAATACTTTTTTTATGTGAGGACCTTTTTTTTTAGAAGTTTTTGGTTAAAGATTTTTTTGTCACGGGGCCCGATCTAGACAATTGTCTTGGGGCCCGGCCTGGCTCTCGGCGGCCCTGTATACCAGTAAGCTATAATAATATTATGTAATACCTAATATAAATTATTCATCCATTTTAAACTTAGTGATAAAATAATAGCTATTTATGAAACCAGTTACGAAATGCCTTATTTTATGTAACGAGTGAATGTTTGCGGGACGAGCAAAGCGAGGTCCCGCAACATGAACGAGGATAGATGCATGTTTCGTCAATTTCTGTTCTTCTATATAATTTTTTTAATGGAAAATAAGCTTTAATTGGATTTTATACACTTCTTTTTTATATTGTATCTCTTTTAGTGCATATAAAAGGCATTGAATTCTTGGATAACATTAGTTTTAAAGTAATTTGACCTATTTAATAAATATTAGAAAATAATAAATTTTATATAAGCATATTGAGTCATCATTATCATTTTTTAAATAATAAAACTAGATAAAAGCATCTTTATATCTTTCTTATTGTAAATTACCATTACTTAAATTGTTAAATTATTACCAAAAACGAATAAACTGTTTCAACTTTAACAACATGTATACATTTTTATCGGAATCAACATAGAAGGATCCGTTCATTACGTTTCTACGATACAAGAATAAAAAATTGTTGTCATTAAAATAATATCGTATTTTAAGTCTAAATCTATTATTCTGAGTAACAAATCAGAAAAATAAAAAAAATATATTTCGTGGCCCTCTTACTTTTAACAGATTCGATATACATACTTTTTCTTCTTTTGTGTCATCGTCTCTCTTCACAACATCTTGTCCCTCCCGTTTGCGTTGTTCTTCTTTTAGCCTTTCCGCTTTCCTCCATTTTGCTCTTCGATTTTGAAACCATACCTGAAACAAAAAACATTGTGTCAATATATCTACTAAATAAAATTTGATCATATGTCCTAATGAAAGAGATTATTGCAACAATTTAAAAAATGTTTGAGTAGATAGATCATTCAGAAACTGACATTGCGTGCATTTTATTTAAATTGGGAAATGTTTTATTTTAGAGGTAGCCAAATTTATCTTTTTTCATTAACATTGTTAATCATCAGTTACTTTAAAAAAGAGTTAGAAAATAATGAGTATTCTATAACTGTACAGTTCTATATAAAATAAAACTAATCTACTATAACATTTTATCGTTGCCTATTTACTTATTATGGTAGCACTTATTTTAAATTACGATAATCATTACCTACACTTTTCATTGCACTGATTTATTGATTTTTTGGTTAATACCTATGTTGATAAAATCTAGGTATTAAAGGTGCCCAATTATCATTTGGCTCTGCTACGGTTTGCCAAAGACGACCTGTTTGGGGGACCATTTCAGTAAACCCAGCTGATCAAAAAAAAACGACTAGCAGTTTGGGGTTAACTTATCATTATTTCTAACTTAGAAACCATTAATCCAAGTGTAAAAACAGCAGTTGAGGAGAATGAACTACTGATGAGAAAGCAACATACCCAGAACAGTTGGGATACGTTTTTTATTAAACATATAATTTATGAAGAGAATACTGTTGAGGAAGAAAGTGTAGATGAACCGAACAAGCTATGAAGCAAAAGTCAGAATTTGGATAGAGTCTTCTTGGAATAGAATGCGTGTTGAACAAATTAATGAATCTAAAGGGACATAGCTAGGAATCCTGTAATGAATGTATTTAATATTTAATCAAAACATTGATAATATTATTAATAAATTTTTAAAGCATAATACTCCTATTTCTCAATTCATCAAAGTTATGTTGTCAACGGTTTAATAAGTTCAATATTTCCTGTGATTGCTCTTCATCAATTGCAAGCTTGTTGAAGTCATGCATAAAGTTCAAATACACATATACTTATTAGAAAAGTACTTGTGTTTTTACTAATGAATTTTAGTCAAATAAAACAAACTGCAGGCATTACCTAATAGGTCCAAATAAATTTCTAGAATTAATGTGACTTAATTAAACATATAGCCTTGATTGAGCATTAATAATATTATAATAATAATAATACTCTCCCTTACGAGTGAATTTCAACCCCTGAAGTCGACTGAACGACTTGTGTAGGGGAAGGGACGGCTATTATTATTATTTGCCGTGGCGCTCCGGGGCGACTTAAAGATGATTGATGGTGCCATTTGACTTACAGGTGAGGAAAACCCGGAAAACCTCACCCACCATCATCGAGACGGTAATGTATGGCGAATTTTTTTAATCTGCATGTCATATCAACAGAAATTGAATTTCTATTAATACGCCACACATCAAATCCTAAACCGAATTAAAAATCCACATGGTCTGGTCTGGGATTCGAAACCCAGCAGTCTCAGACTCATAAACTTGCCTATAAATGAATATAAGCGCGATAGACCGCTACACCACCGTCCCGATTAATATTATTATTAGTCTTTGCATTCAGATGACTGATGGTAGAAAACAGAGTACTGATGACTTACTCGCGAGGAGAACCTGGACATTTCTTCCACCCATACCATCGTCTGTTTGGAATAACTGTTAAACACTTCATGAAATGCAGCCAAATGTTATAATGCAATGATTTAATGATTTAACAAAAAACTAAAATATTAGGTATATACATTAGACTGGGCCAAAAAAATAAAACAATTTTTTTTCTTAGCGGAACTATGAAAATATTGTTCATGACGACAAAAAAAAAATTTCCTGAAAGTTTGAGTCCTTAATAATAATATTAAGAGGTGCATCACTGCAGTTATTGATTTTTCAACAGTTGTCGCGTTTTGCATAAATTTCGGACTGGGTCAATTTTAAAAATTTTTTTCATCTCTTATCCTTGTAGGAAATTAAATTCCCCACAAAAAAAGCTCTCTCAGTAAATTTTCGTAAGACGAGTCTATTCTTTGTAATCGAGCCTTAAACATTGGTATATATTTTCAATTTTTCACTTTGCATTTGGGATTTCCAAAATGAACTTAAATATTATTATTTTTTTAAGACCAGTTATTATTTAATTTAATGCTCTACAAAAAAGGTCTCTTAACATTTTTCGATAAACTCACTCCTTTCAAAATTATTTTTTTTGTCATCATGAACAATATTTTCATAGTTCCGCTAAGAAAAAAAAATTGTTTTATTTTTTTGGCCCAGTCTAATATACATGTTCGATTTTTAAAAACATATATTTTCATAGTACCTAGTTCATCACAGTATAAATTATAAAAAATAGATTGATAATCTATTCTAATTTACATTTTTTCTAAAAAGGAAACGAACTTTTCAATAAAACTTTTGAGATTAGATGAATTATTAGTAATTATTAAATAATTGTAATTTACAATGTTTTGTCAATTTAGATATTAGTATTAACATTTTATTAAATTATTAGATTAAACTTTAAGTATAAATAAGAAGACTATTATTTCAATTTCGAATCAGTAAAGAATAATAATTTGAGAAAATGAAAGCTATAGTGATAAATTTGTTTTTTTAGTGTTACTGACAGGTAAATATTTCAAAATTTATTTCATGAGGTTATTTTTAATATTTTTTTCCTTATGTATCATTAACTTCTATTTATTCAAATAATTAAGGATTTAATTATGTCCCACTTAATACTGCACGTTCCTTACTGCCAACTGGGCATGTTTCTTGTCCTCGCCCAGAAGAAACTGCAGAACAGACACCAAAACCATCTTATTACGTTCCTCGTCCAGATGAAATTGAAGAACGTAATCAACTGGTTATGTCCCTCGCCCCCGTCCAGGAGAAAGTTTAGATTACACACCAAGATCAACTTATTTTGTTTCTCGTCCAGATGAAACTGAAGAACGTACACCAATACAAACTGGTTATATCCCTCGTCCTCTCCCAGAATAAACTGTAGACCAGACACCAAGACCAACTGGTTATGTCCCTAGTCCTCGCCTAAATCATGATATTGTATAACAGACACCAAGACCAAATGGTTACTTTCCTCGTCCTCACCCAGAGGAAACTGTAGAAGTGCTACAATGACCAACTAGCTATATTCCTCGTCCTCAACCAAAAGAAACTATAGACCAGACACCAAGACCAACTGGTGCCTTTCTACATCCAGATGAATTTGTTGGAAATGCAGTAGAACGAGTTGAATGTAAATCAATTTTATTTAAAACAGACAATACATTTATGTGACAGTTTTCATTATCTTTTTTCTAAACTCATTCTACTGCATTTCCAACAAATGGTTATGGGCCCAGAAGCCAGCTAAAGGAGCACCAGATTTATGAAAAACTATTCCAACTTCTTTAGTTGCTTTTAAATATTTTAGCACTCTTTTAGCAGCCAACCAATGTAAATAAACCTCAAATGCAGAAAGTTCAGACAATAAGAATAAAAATAAAAATAGACGTGAATCTACTCTCATTGCTGCTCTTGCGATAAATATACAAAGAGATGCTTGGTACATAGATAGTGGTGCTTCCTCACACATGTCTGGACAAAGAGAATTGTTGTTTGATCTATCAAATATTCATTCTGACCAACAAGTTATTGTAGCCAATAATATAAAATTAAACGTTGAAGAAGTGGGCAATTCAAGAGTCACCTTGAACTACTAAAATTATTTCTAGTGTAAGGTTTGTACCAAAGTTATTAGTAAATTTATTTTCTGTTAATGCTCTCATATTCAGAGGATACTGTGTAACCTTTGCTTCTGATGGATGTAAAATATTTCATCAAGAAGATTGCCTTATTGAAGGAAAACCATTTGCTACTACCTCAAATACCAATGGATTGTTCAAGTTTGACATGCTGGATGACATGGTAAATATTGTTAAAACAACTGATTCGCAATCTTAACCACTACAGCATGAGTCTTTTAAAAAATGGACTTGAAATTGGTATAAATTATAAAGATTCAGAAACTCCCACTTATCGTGAAAGTTGTATCAAAGGTAAACATGCCAAAAAACCATATAACAAAATAAAGGGTGTAGCTAAGAATAAACTAGATTTAATACATTATGACCTCGTTGGAGGTAGAATCCTGGGGTGGTGCAAGATTTATGTTTACTCTTATAGATATATAGTAGCAGATATTTTTGAATAATTTTGTGTTTTTGTGGAAACTCAGACTGAAAGGAAAATAAAGGTTTTGAGAACAGAAAATGGAGGCGAGTATTGCAACAAACAATTGGATAGACTTTTAAAAGAACGTAGTATAAAACACGAACTTACAGTACAACAAAATGTTGTGGCAGAACGATATAATCGTACTATTTTTGAAAAAGTTCGTTCCATACTGACTGAATATAGTTCTGAAAAAAAATATATGGGCCGAAGCGGCCAACACTGCAGTGTATTTGATTAACAGGTCTCCTACTAAGAAAATTTGTGGTGCTACGACGGAAGAAATATGGAGCGGAAAAAAGATCTGTTTAAGTCACCTGAAGATATTTGGATGCCGTGCCTACGCCCACATACCCGACATAAAAAGGAAAAAGCTAGACGAGAAGAGTAAACAATACATATTTGTTGGTTACACCGAGTCCACAGTTGGTTATAGACTATTAGATCCTATAAGCCATCATCTTCAGCTAGCCCGCGATTTCATTTTCTTGGAAGAGGATTATAGTGATCGTCCGAAATGTTCAGGTACTGTAAAGTTAAACTTATCTTCGCTTGAAGAAGTTGACGAAGACGAACAATCGTAAACGATGAAATTTCGTCGGATTCGTCTACCAGCACGGGAAGAGGAAACTGTAACACCTGGCCAAATTGAGTCAGATGTTTTTCGTACATCTGAAATGACTTCAAATTTTCCGGATGAAGATAAAATTGGTGATTTAACAGATATATCGAATTCTAGCCCTACCTAATCATAATATTGTAAAT